TAGTTATGTTAGTCCTTATGGTTTGTTAAATATTAGTAATCTTTATTGGTTTTAAAATTGTTTCAATAATTAAAAACACTAAATTCAAAAGCCTGATTATTTCAATTACTATCTTATAAATGTATGTACAAAATTATGCTTCTTTACTTAATCAGTAACAAAATTTATTTATATTAACTAGATTTTTTTCTATTTTAGTTGTTAGATAGATTTCAAATATAAATTATATATCAGGTGATGTATCATTACTGTATGGATCTAAAAGTCATATCTCTTGGATATATGGATTTTCAATACCTGGATCTTGTTTAATTGGATTAATTTTACCCTTATTAATATTTTTGATTTTGTATAAATATCAATTTATATATCATTATATATCTATAGAGATTAACATGATAAAATAAAGTTTAGAAGGCATTTAGGATATTTATTTAATGAATATACTTAAAATAGCTATTTTTGGGAAATTGTAAAATTATGGAAAAAAAATATTATCATTCTTATCTTAATATATTTTTAAACTGACATATATTTTAAAGCATAATTATTAAGCCTTTGCTTATTTTTTTACTAATTGATTGCCTCTAAATATAAACCTTATATACTTAAGAAACTTAATTAATTAAATATTTAAAGTGTATAATTTTCCTTAATTGCAATATTTTTAGCAGTTCTCAAAAATATATCTGAATAAAAAGAAAATGATAATATTTCAGCAATCATTCAAATATTTATTATTGTAGATAGTATTATATTGAGTTATCCATTTATTATGAATATTCTAAATACTTATATTCTCAAACACAAGGTAAAAGTCATTTCATTACTCATAAATATGTTTTCAGCTTTTAAACCTAATTTTGCAATTACAAAATTCCTTAGAAATAGACTAAATAAATGGAAATAAAAAGAAGAAAAAGCAAAATAAAATATTGTAAAAATAAGAAAAATTCTATTCAAAAAAAACAATATTTTCACTATAGTATTTTAGGGTTAAACTTAATGAAAAAAAACTGAATAGATATAACTGACCGTTTAAACTAATTTCGATAAAGATATATGAATTATGTATAAAAAAAAATAATTCCCATTGTTCCTTTTGCATGTTTATCTATTTTTCTAAAGATTATAATTATCCTTATGTATATGTTAATTTGTTATTTTTATAATGCAAGATCTAAACCATTAAAAATACAAATTCTATCTATTAATTCCTAAATATTTGAATTGAAAGGGTGTATTAGTTATATCCATAAGTAATCTAAGTCAAGAATAATATTATTGAAAATGATTCTGGTGTAGCTATCAAAACGAATAGTTCTAATCTATATTAACTATTTACTAAATGATTCAATCTAACTTTCTTATGTTGCAATAGGAAAAATATTCTCTTAAATTTTTTTATTACAAAAAATTATTTAGAGAAGTTTTTGCAAATAGTCATCAATCATCAACTTTATCTAATAAATAAATAAATTTATCAGACTTCCATCATGCATTTATTCCACTCTAATATCCTAATTTTAAGTTTTTCGTATCTAAACTATTCCAAATTATTAAATCAATACTTTTTTAATATTTTTAAATGTTTATATGATCTGAAATTTATATTCATATTAAATATGAATTAATATAACTATTTTAATATGTTTAGAAACTTCATGATTCAATTTTTATGTAAATTAACACATTTATTTGAATTAATTCTAGCTCAGTTGTATTTAAAATAAATAAATAAATAATCTAAGAACAATTCCAAATATTTCATAAATAAAAATTGATAAATAAAATACTCAAAATAACAAAGTCTGTTTTCTTACATATTGTTATTCAGCCTGACACATCACGATCATGTAGATTATATAAATCAAGATAGGTTAATATTTGAATTTGTTTCTATTTTACTAATTTAATCCAAATGTTTAAGCTTAAGAGATAATTTATTTTCTCAAATTACATTCCAAAATTAGATTTTCAATTCGAAACATTTTAATAAATTCTTATGAAACGAAAATTAATATTTTAAGGATGATGTTTTTGCATAATTGAAACAAAAGTATTAGTAAAATTTAAGAGAGATTATATTGCTCTCTATAGGATGGATTTAGAATGAATTTACTATATTTGATTGTAGAAGTGAAATCACTCTAAGATGATTAATATTAGGAAATGCAATGAAAATTACCATTTTAACAACTTAAAATAAATATTATCATGCAATTACTCATTGGATGTGCATTAGAGATGTACAAATTATTTTTAGGATCTGATTTTAATAAAATCTTTTTTGTTGATAATCAACCATCAATTTTCATTTTTTATTTTTGATCCTTATTATGAAATTCACATAAATAGATTATTTAATAAATTCTTTAACATTAGCAATATTTAATATTGTAAATGACATTATAATTAACTTAATCTATTCAGGTGCTTCATGCTAAACATTAATTATAAGATCAATATTATCTAACTAATTATGACTTCTCTTAAATTTTGGATTTTAATTTTCAATTTACTAGGTCTGTTATTTAAATGTTTCATAAAGTTTTATCAAAAAATTTTCAACCTTCAGAGACAAAATATTTGTAGAAGTGATACTTATTTATATTGATAGAATATTTAAGCCAACAAGCCCTCCTAAAAATTACACTGATCTTATAATGAACAATACTAGTACTCAAAAATAAAAATTAAGCCCTTCCAGGACCTTTCCTTTGGCCGCATAACTCCAGATTGCTAAGTCTTGGAAGAAGGAGCCGAATAGCCTCCCTGCGCAGGTTATATATATAGCAGTGTCTTTCTGTAACAATTAAACCCCTTTTTTGTAAATAAACTCACACACTGACAAACACTTAAATTAGATATGATACACTATATATACCCCAATCTTTAATTAATTTTAATCTATCATCTAATTATGCTTCGAAATTAAATTAAACAAGCTGATATTATTGATTATGATAATTCTTTTAGAATGTTCTTGAAAGTTATTTATTTTCTTTTCAAATGTTATTA